TTAGAGCAAAAAGCTGCACCTGTAACAGCTATGCCCCGGGCGGGGGCGGGGCTGCAGGCCGTGCGCCCAGTTCTCGTATTTGCGAATTGACTCGAAAATGGGCTTTTGACGTTTCCTTCATAGGAGGCACAGCCTCACACACACCCAACAGGTCTGAAAGTTTATCGTTCAACACAGGCTGGACCCCCACGGGACCACCCCTGCTTGCAGGGCCCTTTATAAATGCTTTAATGATCTGAACAACCCAATTTCTGTTGAATAACTTCTATGTGTAACTACAGAAAAAAACTTAATTTATTACATCATGTAACCATTTACAATATAATACATTTTGTTTTTGCAGCCCTGCTTGGGCATTTCTTCATTTTTAAAAACACATTTAGCAAGAGAATTGAAAATTGGCGGAGGCGGAGGGTCTCTACACCTGAGGACCCTGCGGTGGAGCATACCACCCGGCACCTGGAAAACCTCTGCAGGAGGCAGGAGTTCAGGAAGATTGTTTTAAATCAGCCTACTCTGTGCTGCTCGGAAATTAATAATAATAATAGCAACAGTAATAGCAAGTCCATTATGGTTACACAGTGCTTCGTGGTTTTCAAAGCACACCCACACTTTTGTGACCCAACTGCCCCAGAGCCAAACCTGGGGGAGGCCAGCTCTGAAGGGTGATCCACCGTGCCCCCTCAAATCCAAGGATTCTGAGCTTTGAACGACCCTGACTTGGCCTCTCATGGGCAAGTCACTGTCATCGCTTTGAGCTTCAGTGTCACCATGTTTGAAATGGAAGTGCAGTCCACCCGGCTAAGTTGGCCTTAACGAACTGGTGCAGAACAGGATGCAGGAAGCGCTTTTTCAGGTGTAACGCCCCCAAAGAATGGAGTGATTGTTGTTGTTATTATTGTCGTTACTGTCGTCGTCGTCGTCGTTGTGTATTCTTTGGCTGTTTTCCTGGGCATCCCTCGGATCAGGAGCCTCTGTTCCTGCTTCCTTCGCGGTCCCAGGCGCAGCCTTTGTCCGTGACCGTGGCGTCTGCCGCAGCCACGCGCCACCAACGGGTTCCACATCCCGTCACTGACCGCCCTCAGCGCTTTCCCACTAGCAAAGCTCTTTCGAGCGTTTGCGGTGTCTCGCAGTCCTCAAGTAGCCCCGTCTGGTTA